ATTTAATTCAATGCTGCTAATGTGGCTTTAGTAGCTCTTCCATTTCGTGTCTGTTGAGTTTTTAATAAGCGTCACAGAAACTATTCTGGTTGGTCGAGTTTATGGGACGAGTTTCTCGTGCGGCCGCGCGCATTAACTCTAAGTAGACAACGCATTTCATATGGTTTGATGCATCGTGTAACCGGAAAAATAATACTAAAAATAATATTCAAATTATATAAAATCAGCGTGATGCGTGACTCCGAGGAGAGCGTTAAAGCTCCTCACCAGGCTGAACCTGCATGATGTGGTTAGCGCTGCTCGTTATCCACAAACGCTCCGGCAAACCGGGACCACAGATATAAGCTTTACAGGGAAGACAGACACAGAGCCACACGCTGGGCAGCGTGTTGTGATGTAAACGGCGCATATAACTGTTCGTTCACAAAGATAAATTATTCTCACCGCTCCATAACGCGCCTCTGAATTCGCTACAAGTTATTCCTGCTGTTCATATTGAGCTGCCCAACCAGAGCTAACGCGGCGGGTTTTAAACTCTTACCTAGAGTTCTCCAAAGGACCATAATTCCTCACCGTAAGTTGATGTAAATATCCATACAGGTCAGCCTGTGTCCAGTTGAAAGGAGGTGCGCACAATCCTGCTGAGGTAAAGCAGCGGCAGCGCGCGAGGCAAAGCGCAGAAGCGCCAGCTGTGTGATTGGTCTGCGTGCTGTCGGCTTTAAATGCATAAATTATAAACCTATCTATTATAAACCTATCCTTTAGGAATAAATCTGCTCTGCTAGTGAAATACTCAGAGCAACAGAGACGCTTGCAGCCCGGCTTTTTTTTTCTCCTAGAAACGTAAACAAGCAACGTTTAGCCTGACGGAGGGGCTAGTAAAGCATGGCGGGCCGCCAGGCTTATAATACACTGGGGGAAATCCTGAGATAACTGTCCACCATTTATAGTTGATGCATTGACCCATCACACCGCTGGCGTCTCTGCACGTTGCCTTACGCGCTGCTTGATCTCTGAAGTTTACCTCAGCTTGGATCACCTGCTTTCACTCAAACTGGACACAGGCTGACCTGTATGGATGTTTCCATTACCTCCCTGTGAGAAATTGTTTTTCTTCTCAGTTTTTGATCAAGGTAGGGGTCAAGATTAAAGCCTACCGTTTTAACTCTGGTTGTACAGCTCTATGACATAACCTGTAGTCACACGTTCAGAGGTGAGCATTGAACGAGCGATTCATCTTTGTGAACAAAGGCGTTTACATCTCAACACGCTGCCCAGTGCTTGGCTCTGTCTATGTTGTAAAGTGTATGTATGTGTTCCTGGTTGGCCACTTCAATAACCACTAACCACAAGTGGAGATTTGATCCAAGCAGAGACAAGTTTTGAAAAGAAAGACATGAAGTACTGCTTTCAAACTTAAAATGTTTGCTCCAGAATTATGGCAGAAAAATTCCCCATACACAATACATTTTGACTCGCATCTAATTCCATTGTGGTCAGAAGAATCGCAATGTTTGAGTTAATTTTCATAAATAAAAGATTGTAATTTTGGAATAACTCAAGAAAATCTTGTTTTGTTAAATCAAGAAATTAAAGTGAAGGATTTCTTGTATGATTGACATTTGAAAGAATTTATTCTGCTTTTTTGGTCCAGATTTCCCACAATGCTGTGTGTACAAAGTGGAGGAGGTTCTCAAAGAAACAGAACCACAGAGGAACCAACTCATCTCTCATGGCGAGTCAAAAGGTCAGAACCAGGATCAGGAAGGAAGAGAGGAAGAACGGGACCAGAAAGAGGAGCGTCACAGAGCCAAACAACAAAAACGCACAACTAACAGCTCAAAGCAAAAACAGCACAAGAAAGCTCACTCATTGCAAAAATTATATTCTTGTAAAATTTGTAATAAAACCTTTACTCAATCGTGTATGACCTGCGGACTTGCTCAAAAAGGTCAGTTACAAGTTAGCATGACAACTCGCACAGGTGAGAGGCCTTTCTCATGCGAGACCTGTGGAAAGTGTTTCTCTCGAAAAGATAATTTAAACATTCATATGAAAGTTCACACAGGTGAGAAACCTTTCTCATGTTTGACCTGTGAAAAGAGTTACAGAGATAGAAAAAGTTTAAAACATCACATGACAATTCACACAGGTGAGAAGCCTTTCTCTTGTGTCACTTGTGGAAAAAGATTCACTTCTAAAGGCAATTTAAATGTTCATATGAACATTCACACAGGTGAGAAGCCTTTCTGTTGTGTGGACTGTGGACACAGTTTCAGGACGAAATCAAACATACTTTCTCACATGAGGATCCATGCAAGTGAGGAGTCCTCATGTGGAACCTGTGGAAAAAGTTTCACTCAAAAAAGCAATTTAAGTGCACATATGAAAATGCACAGAGATAAGAAGCCTTTCTCTTGTGCGACCTGTGGAAAATGTTTCTGGAGGAAAACACATTTAGATTGTCACATGTTGATTCATACAGGTGAGAAGCCTTTCTCATGTGGGACATGCGAAAAAAGCTTCAGGGTGAAATCACAATTACATGATCACATGTTGATTCATACAGGTAAGAAGCCTTTCTTATGTGGGACCTGTGGAAAGAGTTACAGAAGGAAAAGTCGTTTAACTCATCACATGGGGACTCACTTGGATGAGAAGCCTTAGACCCGAAACACCTCAAATTCATGTTGGCTTCCAATTCTGTGGAAAATCTGGTCGGATGATGTTCATCAACTAGAAAACGTTAAAGTCAACAGGCTTTGCAGGCAGCTAGTGATTCACTGAAACAGCGTCTTTAAATGTCTGGCAAAGATAGACCTGAGGTTTATTTTTGTTTTTTTTGTTTTACTTCTCAGTCGTATTTGTCTTAAGATCCCCATCGGTATTCCATTAGATACTGAAGTTAAAGAGGGCCACACATTCAGCAGGGTTCATTTCTGCGGGTTTCAGTTTTCATGGAGTTCTGTACCATGTAGGATAATTGAGTTTATCTTTCACATTTTTGATATTTCCATGTATGACTGGATGTTAAATAATTTACATATGAAGTCAGTGAAATGATTTTGTTTTATCACAAATAGAACTATGTGATGTTTGTTTGAATAAAAAAAAATTGAGCTCTGGTCAGATTTTAATTTAGAGCTAACCACAGAGAGGTTTTTGTTTTCCAAAATGTTTGTTCCGTCGTTATAATTTGCTATGAGAATGTGTTTGTACTTGTATAAAGGTAAAATATGTAACAGTGTTTTTGAGCAAAATATGCTTACCAATTAATGTTGATTTGGTAAAAATATTGATGAATTATTCAGTGATTGTCATGGCCATTAACTGTAGCCATGTTCTTAAAAGTGAGCTTTAAGTAAAGCATCTAAAGATCTTTGTAAAACCGTTAAACATGAGTTATTTTATACATGTTTAATTCTACATCTTATGGATGTTTCATGCACCTTTCAGTTATTGTATCCCGAGATAAAACTACAACACTGTATTGTGACACAAAAGCAAATCAGAAATCTATTTTACATTCTAAGGATATTTAAAACAAAAAATGTCAACAATCCATAAATTAGCCAACTTGGCCGGTGCTTTGTGGTATTAAGAGTTTTGGATTTCTGGTCTTTTTCAGTTTTGTTCTCAGTGAAATTAGTTTTCTTCACGTTCTTGATGTATCTGTTTCAGGCTCCTATGAACAGAAAAAGTCTTGTGTATTGTGGGGCACAACATATTCCTGAAAACCAAACGTAACTGTTTTCTTTCAGTTTATATGTTGGTCTTTCTGTAGAAGTGAACAGGGGCCTTATACTTTGTTGCACAATAGTAACTTTATGCTTTAATTGTAATAAAAGTCACTCATTGTCCACATATGTTGTCATATTTTTTCTCATAAACTCCCTTATGTGCCAAGACAAAATGTATTAACATAGTTTACATGTTAATGCATGTTAATACATGTTAATAGTTTACTCATCAAACATTGCTTGTAGTGGTGCTGGACCAAGAACCACTGAAGGAAAAACATATTCAAGAGTTCAAACACATTAAAAACACGATTTTGTTGGTTTTACCATCAAAATTAATTGACTCAAATTTGATTCTTATTTCTTACATTTGTAAAAATCGCTGAATCAGTGATTTCTACATCTGTTTGAGCTGAAACAATGTAGTTGTAGTATCAGGTTCTTGTCAACAGGTGGCAGCATGAAGGTGCTTCTCTGTCAGGCCTGTTTCACAATATAGCTAATTATTTTCAAGTCAAAACCACAAATCTGTGTTTCTCTAAAACAGGGGTGGGCAACTCCAGGCCTGGAGGGCCGGTCTCCTGCAACTTTTAGATGTATCTCTACTTCAGCACACCTGAGTCAAACGATGAGGTCGTTAGCAGGACTCTGGAGAACCTCAGTGCACTTAGGAGCTGTTGGATTCAAGTGTGTTGGACCATCTAAGAGTTGCAGGACACCGGCCCTCCAGGACCAGGATTGCCCACCTCTGCTCTAAAATATATGTAATTGTTCACTGTTTAACTTTACAACTGAATTTCAACCTAAAGAAACTACAACCTGATATAATAACATTAGACTGTTTTACAAACAAAAAGATCATACTCAAAAAATGTATTATACGTTCCAGCATGGTTCTTTTGTAAGATTAAAAGTACCTTTTGATAACATAAAATTGTAATAACTAACAGAAATAAAAGACTTGGAAACACCTATCTGTGTGTAATTATTCTATATACCCTGTTTAACTCGGGTGAACTCATTTACTAAAATAAATGAATCTTTCAATAATATTTTTAATTTATTTAATCTATGTTGAGGAGACTCAAGTCGGAACATTTACAGCGGAACTAAAACTCGTTTACAGTTTCTTCAGTACTGCTAAAGTGAAACACAGAAAGTCACAGAGCGCGTGGTAGCGTTAGCTTTTCTTTTGTTAGAAGGTAGTTTGAAAACAAGTGTGGTGTTTTAGGTAAACATTTCCATATTTTCAGTAAAAATGTCTTCAGTTCAGCCTCAGAGAGAGTTTATCAACGAACACGTAACTCCTGCTGGAGAAACATTCACGGAGTTTAAAGAAATCCAAGTCAAGATCGAGGAAGAGATGGAGGATCAGACAGAAATCAACGTTAAGATCGAGGAAGAGATGGAGGATCAGCGCAGACTGCTGGATTTTACCCAGATACCGAAGATCATCTTACACCGGATAGGTACGAAACACCTTCACTTTTTACAGATGATACAGGTTTGAGTAAAGTTGGAGATATGTTAACGAGAGTTGTATACAGGTTAGGGAGCGCTGAACTGAAAGGGACTTTACACCAAATCCAAACTGTAATGACGAATCTGAACCAATTTAGACGCTTAACTGCGACCCGGACTATTATTCATCATATATTATGACAATTACAGTTTGTGATCCGTGATGCCCTTATGCGTGGGGAGGGGTCGGTGATTTAGTACTGCAGGGGTTCCCACGGCTCACCGATACTTTTATCAGCGGTTACAACTGCTGTAACATGTCGTATCGTGTTTTTCCGAGTCGCCTTAAACGCAACTTCAGTGCGGAACCCCAGTGTGTGTTAGTCATTTCACCAAAGACCTTTGCAGTTATTCCCCTCAAGCTAACAGTGAGTTGAGTAGTGCTGTTGGATGCAGGTAATGTTAGATAAATGATAATTAAATGATGCTAGTGTATCACGTTAAGCTTGCTTACAAGAATAGCCTTAAAGAACTGTTATCTATGCCCAAAAGGGAAATTGTAAATGAACTGGCTGCATTTAATTGAGTAACATTTTGGGGAAAAGGTTCTTAGAGTAGTTTTACTGCACTGTGCTTGTCTTTTACTTGAGTAATGTTATTATTGACACTCTTACGTGAGTAGATTGATTTTGCATTTAAAAAAAAAGATATCAGAGATTGGAAACATTAGATTTTTGCAACCTGTGACCTAATGTTTGTGCAAATTTGAGCATAATTACTCTGCATCTTACACTTATCACTGTTTATATCCTTTTTGTTTATTTTGTAGTAATAAAAATGGTTGTTTTAATTGGTTATATAAAACCAAATACATTTATATTAAAATAAAAGCTTGTTTAGTCGGTTTCAACAGAAAAAACTGCCTCCAGTTCCTTAGGGTTTACTAAGGCAATAATAATGTTATTAAATGATTTATAAACTTAAACATCAGATTTTTAAGTTGTAATGTTATATTTATTATTTAGGTAATTTCTATGTTAAGTTATAGTTCATAGTTTATCCTTATTTATGTAACAGCTGCTCTGTTAATTCTGCTGACTTGTTGATAAATTAATATTGAGTTTATAAGAACTCAGGACATTTTAATCGTAAGTACCGTATTTTCCGCACTATAAGGCGCACCTGAAAACCTTCAATTTCCTCAAAAGCCGACGGTGCGCCTTATAATCCGGTGCGCATTATATATGGACCAATATTGAGCCACAACAGGTCTAGCAGCTGCGGTAAGCAGCCACCGACTTCATTTTCGCTCGTAGAAGAAGAAGCGCGCGGTGCATGCTGGGATAGTTGTCAGAACGCTGGTTTGTAATCTATTAACAAAGTTTGACTGACCTATCTACCTACCGACCGTCTATAATCAGGTCGTCTGCAGGTCATTTAGCACCACGTTCTCCTCCAACATGCTGTGTGCAAACGGAGAAGTGTGACCATCGTCCGGCCAGGAAGGCTCTCCTCGCCGACCGGAGTCAGACTGTTTTGTTGACATTCATTTTAGTGCAGCACCAACTAGTGGATGCATAACGTAACTCCAGCCTCTGCTGTAGCATTTATCTTATGCGCCTTATAATCCGGTGCGCCTTATAGTGCGGAAAATACGGTAATTAAAAAAAAAAAAAAACGGAATACACAGTAATAACAAAAGTGTTAGCTTTCCAGTGTTGGTGTTGTATGTTAATAATGCAGTGTTAATTCAAGACTTATTTAGTCTAATTCAATGATAGAAGTTTTCCAAAAGAGTTTGTGTTATTCCAGAGAGTTAAAATTAAGCAACTCTGTCTGGAGTTGATGTTGAAATCAACACCAGACAGAGTTGCTCTCATTATTCTAACATTTCTGTGCCGTGTTTGCCTGAAGAGCGGGGACAGCAGTCTCAAAGAGTCCTGTCTGGAGCCAACGTCGTTCGTTACAAGGTAAGTTTTGGCATATTTTTATGGGTGTATTAATTTTCCTTTGGCGCTAGTGTGTTGATTAATATACATAGTTTATATGCGCTTGTGTGATAAATATGAACAACTTCACTTTTTTTGTTATTGGTTAAGCTAGATAAACAAGTGTAGCTCAAGCTGTCTGGTGGTTTACTGAACATTAAGCTTGTTGGAAAACTCTGAAGGCCGTTTGAGTTAAAATATAATTTAGCTGTGTTGTTGTTTTCATGACGCTGGGCTGGGACTTGAGCTCCTGATTGTCGATGTGCAGGTGTGCTGGCATATGGCTGCAGACAAATGGCTGGAGGGTTCCTAAAGAATTAGCACCTCGGACCACCATACCAATTCCTGCACTAAACCCGGAGCTTTTAATGAGTAGAAGTAGTTTAATTTTTATTTTTAATTATGTTTTTTTTTTTAATTAGCGTGTCAGCGGAGCTTGTAACTGAGTCTCATACAGCTGCTGCCACGCTGCGTCTGAAATGCCAGTGAGTTTTCCTAACTTTATTCAGTGATTCAACAGTAACATCACTGTTATGTGTATGCCTTCACTTTATGTTGTGTTGCCAATCTTTGTGCTTGTGGGTAGTGGTGGTGCTGTTAGCCGACGTGAGGGCAGGCAGGTTGAGCTAACTGCACCACGGTTTGGCTCCCATTGTTCAGGCGTTAATAACTGACTCGTTAATAATATAGAGAAAAAAAGAAATACGGTCACGGCCCGTCTCATGCCTTTAAAGCATTTTTTCTGTATGTAATATCACATTGTGGGTGCCTGTTTTTCTTCATCAGCATATCATGTTGGTGAGGGTG